GTGCCCTGCCGATAAGGGCGGCAGTGACGGTGAAGAGGTCGCCCTCTCTGCAGTCAATGATACGCTGAGCGGCTCTACATGCGTTGACGCTAGATGCGACAGCTTGGAAACCGTCGTTGGTCCTATTGCAGACCTGTCCGACCCGGGTGCTTGGCAGCCTTCTGATTCCGAAGGCCCGGTCTCGTTTCGGGACCTGGCACCGAGCAACATCTATGACAGTGACGAGGACGACGAACAACACCACCCCGACGAAATATACATGAACAACCACGTGGATACACAGCCGATTTACGACGAATATGGAAATTCCAACATTGTCCACGACGTGGAGATTGTTGGTGGCCATGGCCAGCATGACACTGTCGACCTGGGAGTATATATGGCAGTGGACGATGAAGAAGTACAAGACCTGCCAGAGGTAGAATTGGCCATGGATAGGAAGAGCTTTGAACAACATTTCGGAGATGACGATGCGGTTGACGTTCATATTCCAGACATGGAAATATTCTGCTTCGACAAGATTGAGGAATACGACGACGACGACATGCATGAAGATAATAACAAGCAACAAGACACTTTGAGGGTAGAGCCACCGCGTTATATGGAACTAGATGATGATGGCAGTCACGGTGAAGACGACGACATCTCACAAGGAAATGCTATGGACATTTGTGGATCAGATGACAGTTTGTCCGATTCGGAGATGCTGAGTGAGGAGGAGTAGATGTCTTTTTCGGGGAGTTGCCCGGCTTACCGCATCATCTTATGGGAGAGGCAGGCAAACATTGCACCCAGGCTGCGGGAGACTTGCCTCGAGATCTGGGAGGATTCACGCTGAGAACTGGGTTATCCGGGAGTTATGATACCATGATATACAGAAATAGTACAAAATTTATCCCCATCACAGTTGCCGCATGCAAACGCCTCTGCATCAGCATCATGGGACTTTGAAGCCGTCCAGTCATTCCCGTACGTGTGTCGCAAGGCTCCGCACGATTCACAGTGTAGAATACAGAAACCCAAAGGCACGCACAAAATGTCTCACGTATTGCCTATTCGTCGCGAAACCTGCTCGGATATCCCTGTATTTGGCATCCAGACCACCAGCAGCCTTGGGGCCAACGTAGTCCGGACCGGCGCACTCACCGACCTGTACATGTGCCGCCAGGCGTGACTCGACACGCCCAGCTACAATAGACCGAACACCATGTTCTCTTGGACAAACTCGGTTTGTGGCGGTGTTTATCACAGTGGACAGACCGACTCCAACAAAGGAACCATACACGCCGCTAGGTCACGATTTAACCCCCTTTCGTCCTACTTTCTCTTGGACGGCGGCATGAAGACGCCTAAATTCAAGGCTAAAGCCAAACTGAACAATTTGCAGCTATAGTCTGCTGGTGGAATACAACCTAGTACACTTCTAGGCGGTGCTGGAAATCGGTTCGGAAATTTGAAATTTACTGCGAGGCATGGTCATCGACTAGGGACATGGGAGGCCAAACTCTTCTACAAAGGGGGCTCGACGAACAAGCTAGCCTACAGCACCGAGAGGTTTGCTTACACAACATGGACCGCTGCCTAGTGGCTGGCTTTGAGTTTTGCCCAAGTTGACGCTTGTTCAGAAGCCAAAAAGTGCATCGTCATGAGCCACCCGTCGTCGTGTAAGCCGAGGCGGCTCTCCGCATTTCTTCAAGCGGCCAGAATTCTCAGCCAACTGCTCTCTTTTCCCTGCTTACAGACAGAAAACATCCCCCCAACCCCAAAAATCTCAAAATGGTCGTCGTATCCAAGTTCACGGGTCGCTGGGCCCTCTGGGCTTTGGCTTCGCTCGGCCGGCTCACTCCCGTCGCCAGCTATCCAAAGCAGGATGCCGCCAATGGTTCCATGTACGACAGAAACAACTTCACAGGAGGGGGCTACGTGCCCGACATAGTCCCAAAGCCATTCTACGCCATTGCCAACAGAATACTCACCAAGCAAGATGCCCTGGATGCTCTGGAAATGGGAGCCAACGCCTTGTACATCCCCGTCCGGGGATGGACACACACCGGATGGTGGGCCGACTATGATGGCAAGGCCCGCACCGCAGGGGATAGACTGCATCATCTATTTAAAGAGATTGCCAAATATCGCGTCGAGGGCAGAAACATCTGCCTCGTCTGGCTGGACCTTCGGAGCCCGGACTTTTGCACGCCGCACTACGCTCGCTGCACGTTTGACAGACTGGTCTCTTTCTCCCGCAACATTCTTCAGAGCGAAGGCATCTACGTCCTCTACGGGTTCCACCTCGAGAGTGTCAATGGGAGTGCCTACACGTCCCTCCAAGACGACATCAACGACATGGAGGCCATCTCTCTCGAGGGCGAGCTGGCAGACGTAAATGCTTCCTTTTGGAAGTACGGACCCTCGGCACCCGACAGTCGGGTCATGTCGTACGGATATTTCGACTTGGCCACGCCGCGGTTCGGCCACTGCAACGAGGAGAGATTCTATGTTTGCTCGGAGCTCAAACGGGGCGCCAACAGCAGGGGCGAGATTGGCAAAACATACGCCTGGACCGTTTCGGGTGATCAGTCCGTGTACGTCGACAGGCTGATGGAAGCTGGTGTCGATGGCCTTGTTTTCGGCTTCAAAGCGATCAACTTTAGAGACCACGAGGCGTCTTTTTTGGCCTTTAGGAACATCGTGGACTGGATCGACAGTCATCCGGACCGGTACTTGGCCAACATTTATGATAAGCCGTGGGATCGACGTCTAAATAACGAGTCGGAGAATAAGTAAATAACAGGTAGACGGCTATATTGCATTTCAGGACGTTGTCAAGTTGAAATTGCTGCTTGCACGTGCTCCTGCTCTGTGGCGGGTACAGTCTCCGGAGTAAAAGTGTCTATCCCATGATTGCTTTTTACGCCGACATGCTAGACTCCCGTGTTGTAGTCGGGGGTTGATGTGCACAAGTGAGTTGGTAAAATGATTTTATTCCTTTCCAAATATAGCTGGCAGACTTGGTACGATACAATAGAGGTTTATTGCATGGAATCGACCTGGTGGCGTCAATCTGTGTATGTGCTCAATCACCTTTGCACAAGGAAATAGCAAAATGTCAGACCTGATGTAAGCCGTTGTACCCCCATTGAGGACGAGCCAACTTATGCAGAATGCTCCACAAGCCGCTCGACGGGGAGCATGATGGCCCTGTCCAAACCATAGGGCATCCCTCGATGCCGGCCACGAAGCATCATGGCACACATGACGACCTTTCCAAACGTAGAAAACTCTGTCGACAAGGCTGAAGTAATGTCGGGGTAGCCCATGGTTAAGCCAACACCACCGCTGGGGAACGAATCAGCCTCAGCACACGTTTGTCGACACGGAGTCGCCATACTAGTAAGAAAAGAACTTACTACGCCGAAACCACTTCAAAGAATATGGCAAAGAATGAAAAAGCCTCATTCCGGTCAGCAACTTGCCCCTTGACTTGACGATGGAAACTTTCCCTCCGGAAAAAAGAAAGAAACGTACCGGCTCACTGGGATCCGCAAGTTTACTCGCCTCAGAGACACTCAAACAAAACAACCCCAAAAAAATGTACCACAGGTCAAAACCGAGCTGCTTCTGCATGTGCTGGAGTAAATACGACGCTCCTCTGTCTTCGTTGTACGTCGGGTCCTGCGCGTAATACCCAAGCGACTTCTCTTCGTAGATGTTGGAGGAACGAATGCTCATGGCGATGGGGAATGCGGAGATATACATCATGACCAGGAGAGTGAATTGCGCACCGGGGCTTAGATTCGACAGAGTAAATGAGGCTGCGCCGGTGTGTCGCGCCGCGGCGGATTGGAAGAAGGCCGCGGCCACTCGCTGGGCCAGGGTCAAGTGTGTGAATTCCGGGTTATGCAGATCCAGCACGAGGAGGATAAGAGTGCCGAGGAAGTTGAGGCCGATAATGATGCCGAACAGCGCCCATGTGGTTCCGCCGGGAAACAGGAGCGCGTAGCAACGGCGAGGGTGAGTGAGCAAGAACTGAAGAGGTTCCTGGATCGAGGAGCCTCGGGGCGTAACCTTGGACATGGTCCACAAGATGAATCGTAGGAAGACCGGGTACAGCGTGTTGCCGGCAAACGTGAGAAGACTGAGCCAGAACATTACCCAGGGTGAGTCTTGAAAGAACACCATTGAATCGGGCGTGAGGGTGAATCCTAGGTTGCAAACGGCAGTTTGAGACGTGTAAAAGGCCCTGAGTGAAGTTGGTCACACAGTCACCTGGCTCTGTTCCGAAGTTGACTTTCTACATACCACCAGATTTTGTCCTGCGCGAATTCGTCAAGATGCGCGGCATACTTGGAATCGGCATGCAGGATCCAGGCCACCAGGCCGATGGCTCCGATTAGATGGACGCCGAAATAGTAGGCTGGGATTTGACATCATCGCTCAGTTGACGAACAAGCAGTTCTCCCCCATCTTCCCCTCTCCCCCCCCC